TACCTACTGGTCTGCTTGAGCCAGGAACACTAAGCCACAGTGTCAAAGGCAGAGGTCAAGACAGGTGAGCAGCTGTGCCAAGCTGAGTCAGAGCAACCACTGGAATGCAAGTGATCTATGGCTGAGAACAGGCCCAGTTGGGGAGCTAAAGGGACAGCCCTAGCTGGGTTCCCACCAAGGGGCATGTGCCCTGGAATGGGGGCTGCATTCTGATCTGGAAATGCTTGTGGTCTCCCTTGGCACAAGTGTGGACTGGGATTGGATGCACCGAACCGGGCCAGACCCCAACACCCCCTGGTGTCCTGGAGACCAGGGTAGATGTGCGATGGATTAGGCTGGGTCTCAAACCCCTGCTGAGCCATGCGTAAGCCATATGTGGGTACGGACAAACCATGGCTGGGCTGAAACATCCAACAGCAAGGACCAGTTTCGGTTGAAGGCCAGTCAGGAAACGCCACTGTTCCTGCTAGGACAGGAGATGGACTGAGTAGGGCTGGCTCTTGGACCCACTGGTAAGCGTGAAACCTGGCATTGGGAGAGGTTCTGATGGAGGAGCCTGGGCAACTCCTCTGGCAGGACACAGACCTGGCAGGTAAGCGCAAGTAACACGATAGGAAACAGCCCAGAACAGGCCATGGAAAGTTACCCACTGGCATACAATTGGCAGGGGTTGGGGGAAGACCAGGATGAATCTGTCCACGTCATCCACTGGCAAATCCAAGCACCAGAACAGAGTGTGGGTCAGGCCAGGTTCGGTTGCAACAAAGACCAGTGCACAATACGGAATGCCAAGGAGAGGTTGCCTGTACCAGAAGGGACTGCAGCACCCAACCAGCATGAGAACCAGGAAGGGAGGGGGCAGAGCCGGCAGGAGAATAAGGGAGGGTTCCTTTGCTGGACAGCTACTCCCGCAGGAGAGCATGGGCTGGGATGGGGGTAGACCAGACTAGGCAGGCCTACAATACCTGTGCACCTCATGTGGACTAGATCAGGGAAAAGCCAGGCTGGGCTGATTATTCCTACTGGTGCAAACAAAATTAGAGTGGGTGAGGGTTGTTTGGGCTTAGCCACAGGATCAGCTGGCAGAAGCTGGCCCCTGGGCATGGTTCTGTCAAGTCAAACCACAGAACTATCTGGAGAGTGCATAATCTGGGAGTGGTGGAGGCCTGGGAGGGAAATAGTGGGCTCATCCCTCTTGGGTTACCAGTTCCACAGGAGGGCATAAAACTAGGACAGCAGCTGGGGTGGAATGGGGTGTGGGACAGACTGGACTACTGCTACACATACTGGCAAACCAGGGTAGGGGGCAGACCTGGTGGGGGTTATTGTGGGTCGCTCCAACTAGGCTGCAGCTCCCACTGCTTTATGCAAGGGCCGAATATGTGCTGGGTAGAACCAGGCTGGACTGCAACACCCATTGGTTCCAGTGGAAGTCGGAAGTGAAAACAGAACCAACCCAGCAATTGCAACCACCAGCTGATGGGGCGATGGACTGTGCCGGGCCCTGTACTTGCTAGCACATACAAGAATCTGGTTTGAACACACCTCAGGCAAAGTTTCTTTGGAGATCTCCCCAATCAAAATGCTGGACTCAGAACCCTAACCAAGAAAAGAGAGAAGATAGAACAGATCAACCATCCATCTCAGCTATGATAGACTATGTCAATCAGTGGATTCTTCAAAGACCTCATAGTGCTTGGAGTGGCAAGATTGGCAGCGATTCATAACTGTTGAACTATCAAAACCACTTGAGCAAGAACCTCAGAGTATACCCTACATCCGGGACCTGGGGAGGGTGGGAAATTGGGTGGGCCTTCTCCCTTAACAACCCCCTTTAAACATGAAGGAAACAATATGGAAAAAATACTAGTCTTACCCACTTTCCTGTAGCCCTTGAACTTTTTTACCCCAATTAACTACGTAAAGATTGTCAAAAAAAAAAAAAAAAGATTAAGCACTGCCACAGAAACTGAGAAACCGCTACCACCCAATATTCACATAAACACCACCTTCCAAAGCTCACTTCAAATATACTATAATAACTTCTAAAATGAATTTTAATGACAAAGTTAGTTCAAGTATTTATATAAAAGTAAAGTAGTATTTCATAAATCTGGAAAATATCCTTAGAGCCATTATAGCTTTCTCTAAAAAAAAATAATAATAATTTGCATATCTGAAAGTTACAGTTACAGAAATAGGACAGACAGGGAGAAATCTTCCACCCACTAGTTCTCTCTCCAAATGGCAGCAATGCTCAGGGTTGGGCCAGAATGGAGCCAGGATGGAGCCAAGAGCCAAGAGCTGCTTTCCAGATCTCCCATGGGGAGCCCAGGCCATCTCCTGGTGCTTTCCCAGAAACATTAGCAGGCAGCTGAATAAGGAAATGGAGCAGCCAAAACTCAAACCTGTGTCAAGATGGGATCCTGGCAGAGCACACCTCAGCTTAATCAATTATACCACAATGCCATCCACTACTTTGCATTTTAATTAGCATTATTATGCTATTTGTTTTCTATAGTAGTTATATGAGAAAATCTTTTGCAGATTAGCTGTCATAATTCACTACTTTATTATTTTATTTACAAATAATAATACAAGGTTAGAGATAAGTGACAATATAAATCTATCAAAAGTATATAATGGATTCTATATACTTAATGACTGTTGCAGAATTAACTACTGAAAATAAACAAACTGGTTAAGAAAAAATAATCACTTTGGAAATGGACATAATTATTCTCATCCATGAATAGTAGCACTCTTTCCTGAAATCACAAGGCTAGCACTGGCCCTACTCCTGACAGAATATTCTTCTACATATGACCAATAGGAGATATCAACATGTTCCCAATAGAAGAAAATGCAATCATACCCCCTAAACTCTCCCAGTGGCGAAAACTCAAATTAATGTCCTAGCTATCCAAGTCTTGCTGCTAACTGTTCACATTCCTTAAGAAAAAAACACAATACATTGCCTAAATATTAAATTTCACCAAACACGCAAAATTGATCCACTCTGTTAAATTTTATTCACTTGAACTAAGTGTCAGAAAGAGCAATCAGATAGCCAGATACTCGAGGTACTTGCAGGAGCCTGTGGGTTGTGTCAAAAGTTTCCTCGGGTCTCCCAACGCTAAATCTCCAAAGTTCTAAGGGATGCCAATCCCACCAGACTTCATACAGGGAAAGACAAAAACCAGACTCACAGGCCCATAAGAAAGAACTCAACTCGCAGCTGCACCCAAATAAGCACCTGAGCAACGAATAATCCCATCATGAATGTCCTCTTTATCCTAGAACATCTATTACATGGTTAAAATTATCTGTCCACTATCTCACTCCTCAGGTGTAGGAGCCAGGAACCACATTCAGCTTTCCCAGAGGCATGAGCAGGGAGCAGGATCAGAAGTAAAGCCTTTCAGATTTTAACACACATAGTGATGTGGCATGCAAAGCAGGGAGAACCCACTGAGCCGCAAAGCCACTACATAGCAAATGCTAAGTTTGTTTTATCCCACTAAGAGAGCAGGATGTGAAGAAGTTATCAAAGGAAATATGCAGCTAAAGTACTTTCAAATAAGTTTAACAACTTCTCTCTAACTTTCTTTTTAAAATAAAACTACAGCAAATCAAGAACTGTTCAGATTGGTCTAAAAGTTCAGGTGTCTTTGCCATAAAAATAAACTTATACTTTCAAATAAATGTCATTTTACATCTAAGAAACAATCCTATTATTTAACTTCAGTGATGAAGGCTTACAACATTCATGGAAAATTATTAAAACCTCAAGTAAAGGGCAAGGTGAACATTGCTCAGCACCCAGTCAACAAGAAAATTTGAAAGATACCATTATCTTCGAATTGGAAGCTGGAAAGCTACTGAGTTGGCACAAACACCCACAGAACATTCTATCCTGTTTACAACCATCAGGAGCATCAAAGGGGAAATCACAGAGCCTATGCAAATTTTTCTCATGAAAAATAAAAATTAAAAAAATTAACTTGGAAGAAATAATAAAATATTTTGAAAGCTTAAAAAAAAGAAAAGAAAGAAAAAGAAACATACCTCCTGTGCTCCCAATTATACACCTAACTTACTTCTCCTGTCTGCATGTTATTTGGTATGTGTGAGGCTGGGAAGGGTCCTTGACCTTTTGGTTAAGGTGTCATTATCAGAGTGCTTGGGTTTAAGTCATACTAGCTTACTGCTAACATGCAACCTGGAAGCATGTAACAACTCAAGCCAGGAGATGAGTTCTTGTCACCACTAGGAAGATCAGACTTACTTTGCAATGCCCAGCTTCAATCTGTCTTCTGGACATTTGAGGAAAGAGAACTAGCAGACAAGAGTTTGTTCTCTCTTTCACTTTCCCTCATGAATTAATTGTTTAAAACAAAAAGACAAAAAACAAGTTGAAATATTAAATTCACCAGAAAGTAGACTGGCAGACTGTGCATTTTATAGAGGGGCTCATAAGCACAAGGAAAAGCCAAGATGTTTTAACCTATTAACATTCATACGTCCCATGTTCTTAATCTTCTCTCCACACTGATTATCCAAGAAGCACTAATAATAATCCATTCCTTTTCTCCTCCAACCCCCACATACTGAATGAACCTTTTCACTTCATTAGATGACCACTATGTTTACTTCAAATTCTACATTCAGGCAGTCAACTTTTTACTCCTAACTAACTATGCCCACACATAGCCTCCAACAAATGTTCTCAGAAGGAACTACAATTAATTCTTCAAGACTAAAATATCAATGAATCCATGAGACTTAAAATGGTTTTGCGCTTTATATACATAACCACTGAATTATTGATTTATGATCAAAACCTTGGACAAATGGGAAAGTAATAATTATAATCATAACCTTATGCACATCTCACATTAATCTAAAACTGCCAGATGAAGGAAAGATGCCTCTTTAAGACATGCATAATGACTAAATTTCAAAACTCCCAAGACAACTAGCACAAACAAGAAACTTGCCAAGACTTGGGCTCCCCAAAGTGCAGATAGTTGATACTGTAGAGGTCCATGTCTTCCGTATGCCACGCAAATGTGGTTTTCCACATGCCAAAATACAGATAAGGAGTATTTACACCTTCAATGGAAATACCACACTCTTCTTCGACCACATCCAATACAGTATTTAGGTGAGCTATGTTCCATTCATCCACACCCTGAAACCAGAAAAGAGAGAAAAATCAAATGTTAATAAACAAAAATAATATTCACTAATCATATCATCATTGGCCAAAATTATCACTCTGTATTTTAACTCATGAAGAACCAAAAAAAAAAAAAAAAAAATCTATCTCCACTCAAGAGCCATATGCACATATTCATTATTTTTTTTAAAGATTTATTTATTTTTATTGGAAAGGCAGATGTAAAGAGAGGAGGAGAGACAGAGAGGAAGATCTTCTGTCCAATGATTCACTCCCCAAGTGACCGCAATGGCTGGTGCTGCGCTGATTCAAAGCAGGGAGCCAGGAACCTCTTTCCGGGTTTCCCACACGGGTGCAGGGTCCCAAGGCCCTGGGCCGTCCTCAATTGTTTTCCCAGGCCACAAGCCGGGAGCAGGATGGGAAGTGGAGCTGCTGGGATCAGAACCAGCTCCCACATGGGATCCTGGCGTGCTCAAGGTGAGGAGCTCAACCACTACACTATCGCGCTGGGCCCTATCCATTATTTTTATTCTAAGATTTCCATCAGCAAAATCTGGTACCTGATTCCAAATGGAAATAAATGTTCTCACTCCTCACAGCTAGCAAAAAATCAATAATTCAAAGTACATAACCTGGTATCCTTGGTATACCTTTCTAAATTTAGGCTTTCCTTTTCTTTTTGCAGTGTAGAAATTACATGCAATATCAGGTACCAAGTGCAGGGCCTGGGTGTTGTAGCCTAGTGGCTAAAATCCTTGTCTTATATGTGCCAGGATCCCATAAGGGCACCAGTTCTAATCCCAGCAGGCCTGCTTCCCATCCAGCTCTCTGCTGGTGGCCTGTGAAAGCAGTCAAGGAAAGTCCAAAGCCTTGGGGCCATGCATCCGTGTGGGAGACCTGGAAGAAGCCTCAGGCTCCTGGCTTCAGATTGGCACAGCTCCAGCTTTGCAGCCACTTGGGCAATAAAATAAGCAGACGGAAGATCTTCCTCTCTGTAAATCTGATTTTCCAATAAAAATAAGTAAATCTTAAAAAAGAAACCAAGTGAAAAATCTATCTTTAATCATTCCTCCCTCATACCTATCAAACTTAGTTTTACCTTCCTTAAAATTCCATTGTAATTATTAGGGAAAAATATTTGACATTATTCTACACCTTTAATTAAACCCTAATTTCTTACAGTCATGAGCAACTTTTAACCTTTCCCATTCCTCACTTCTTACTGGCCACAGCCTCTGGTAACCACCATTCTATGCTCTACTTTCATGAGGACAACTTTTCCAGATGCCACAAATCAGTGAAAACATGCAGCGCTTGTCTTCCTGTTCCTGGCTCATCTCACGTAGCAGAATCACCTCCAGTGTCATATATGTTGTTCTAAATGACAGTTTGTGTGTTATGCATGAATAATTTTTCATAGTATAAATGTACATTATCTTTATCACCTCAAAACTGATGGATATTTGGGTTGTTTCTGTTTCTTAGCCATAATAAACACTGCTACAACAAACATAAGGATGCAGTTATCTGCAACTTATGGACTTCATTTCCTTTGGATACACAATCATTCCCAATAGAGAAGTTGCTACGTTATATGGTATTTCAACTTTGAATTTGCTCAGGACCCTCCATTCTATTATTCACAGCAATTATATGAATTTATATTTCCACAGTATACATCTTTCTCCTCATCTTGGCCAGTACTTGCACTATCTTTTGTCTTTTGATAGTAACTATTCTAAACAGAATGAGGTAACATCCTGTTGTGGTGTTAATTTGCATTTCCCTGCTGATTTCCTTACATCTTTTACTTAATGAGAAAACTAAAACATTTAAAATATCAAATTTGCTAAAAATTGATAGAGTACAAATTTTGGGAAACTTGCTGAAATGATGCAGTTTTATAAAAGTAAGCCAACATGCTGATGACATGACAGAAGCAAACATTCATTAATTATAGAGTTAAAGTGATGAATTTGGTATTTTTAAGAACTTATCAATTAATTATTAGTTGGCTGTAGCTCATAATTGCTTAGAAATTCTTGCAAACTATATATTTCCCCCATATATTTAACTCAAATCAAAGGTACATTGTATGCAATCACTGGGTACTTGCAATGGCTTTAAAAACACTTTTATCCTATTCGCTGTGGTTACTAAAAAGGGGTAGTAAATTCATTATGGCTACAAAAAAGGCTCCCCCCAGTAAGTACGCTAATGTCTTCACCTAAAACCCCTTTAAAATTTTCACTTTACATTCCACTGAAAGCTCTTAGGTTTGTTCTGTATTCATTCTGGTCTTTACACAAGTCTAATCAGTGAGCAAATCTGAACTCATCCAACTTCTGGATGAAGAAAATTATTGATCGGACAGTTACGAAGCCTGAGGACATCATCTAATTTCTAAATTCTCCTAAAGGATTTAATTTTTAAAGCGCTCACTCTATAATAACGTAAGCCACAAAGTGGCAAGTTTGCTATTTGGAAATTGATCAAAATAAACTTTTAGAGAACAACTTAGGTTCAACTTATTAGTTTCTCATAAAAGTTAAATCAAATTATGTAAAATATTTTATCTCATTCTATTTATAGATACCATCTCAATTTTAGTCCAATCAGTCTTCTGTCTAATCACTAACAGAGTTCTATTTAAAAGCCATTACTAAAGTGGAGCACTGAAACTGGAGTAATAAATGAGGGTCACATTATAGGAACCATTTTTAAAATGACTGAGCTTGCGGATTCAGACAAAACTATTCCTCTCAAACTCTGGAGACCTCTAAATTTTATTTCTGATAGATACATTTGAAAAATCTGAAAAATAACCCAAGGGTGAATCCTTGAACATTACAGATTTTGGCGGGGCCTCAGAAAAGTGGACAGAGAACAAAGAATACTTTTCAGAAAGACCCAGGTTATAGTTGCTGCTCTGCCACCCACTATGATGAAAACCAGTGCTGATACCCACACTCGTCCTCAGAAAAACCTCGGAGTTCTAGCATCCTTCTGGTGTTCCTTAGATCACCAAACAAGTGAATGAACACAAAATCTTTAGGATTTCAGGGAGATGGAGTAGCAGTAATAGGTTAATCCTTTGCCTAAAGCAACAGCATCCCAAATAAGCACCAATTTGTATCTGGGCTGTTCAACTTCCACTTCAGCTCCCAGTTTATGATCTGGGAAGACTGAAGAAGATGGTTCAAGTGCTTGAGTCCCTACATCCACGTGGGAGAACTGCAAAGAAACTCTTGGCTCCTGGCTTCTGATCAGCTGAGCTCCAAACACTGTGGCCATGTATGGAGTGAATCAGCAAGGAGAATACCTCTCCCTCTGTCTCTCTCCCTCACTCCATCTGGAAAATCGACCTTTCAACTAAAAACAAGTAATTTTTAAAAAGCAACTTTGGAAAATAAAGCTAAATAATTCTTAGGATGGATGTAATAGCTATCCCCACTAATCTCTAGTTCATCTTACTGGAAAGCATACTAAAACCAACAGACAATCATGGGAGAAATGATAGTAAAATCCTCTGAAACACACTACTGAAATTCTCCCTATTAATGGGCAAATAACACATTTGATGAAGTTTATTCTTGAAAAGTAAAGGTTGCCCTAATGCTGACACTTCATTTCTTTTGCAAAAATAAAAAGTCACATAATTTTAATTAAGGAGTTCTGCAAATATTAACAGTCACTGGTATTAACAAGAAGAGATAAATCTTATTGCCCCAACATGCCTTCTCCTATGTTTACCCTCTTCTTTTGATAAAATTGGCTAGCTGCCTCTTAGGACCGGCTCTTCCGAAGAGTTTTAGGTCTCCCTCTTTTATGCAGAAAAGAAATAAACTCATGTCAGTGCTCAGGTGAACTGTGATATATATCTATACATACACAAATATGTATACATAAAACATCTCTTTACATCACATATACATACATGCTACACTTATTCAAAATAATCCAGTTAAATAGGTAAACTAATACTCAGATGAATAAAAAAGAAACGCAATACTCCTAGCTTAGTAATAGGTAGAAAAATAATCTCTGGGCTGCCATTGTAACATTTCAGGTAAAGCCACCACCTGCAATGCCAGAATCCCATATGAGTGGCAGTTCACATCCCAGATGCCCCACTTCTAATCCAGCTCCCTGTCAATGCCCTGGGAAAAGAAGCAGACCAGGACTAATGTACTTGGTACTCTGTTGCCCACCCAAGAGTCTCAGAAGAACCTCCTGGCTCCTGGTTTTAGACTGGATCAGCCCTGGCTGTTATAGCCATCTGGGGAATAGACAGGCAGATGGAACACAGACAGATCTCTCAATCTCTCTCTCTCAGTGTGTGTGTGACTAAAACTGACACTCAAATAAATCATCTTTAAAGTCAAACACACACACACACACACACACACACACACACACACACACACACACACACCAGTGTGGGAAACACAGCAGGCTACACTAGAATTGAAAATTCTCTTATATACTGGTTTCACCATTCACTAGTTACTGGGACCTGATATTTATCTTTTACAACAAAGCTGTGACCAACATTCAAGTGTGCCAGCCAGGCCAACACGGGACTTCAGCCACCTTTTACGATCGAAGGGAAGATCCAGTCTCTCACTGAAACTACCTTCAGAAAACATTCCCTCCCCTTGATATCTGAGATTTCTTAATAGTACAGAAAGGCCAACTTGTCTACCTCATAATACAGCTGTAATTAAAGGATTGCAATGTGGCTGTGATAATATTCTGAAAATCTTTTATAGTCAAATTGTTATTTTACCATCCCTTTGAGGGGTACTCTCACGGTTTCCAACCCATCTCGTCTCAATGGCAGTTGTCAGCATGATGTTCCACAGAGCTCAGCAGGTGATGAAGCAGTTACAAACTCCGGAGTCCAAAAAGCCCGGCAGGTAGTAACAATGAAATGAAGGAAGTATTCAAGTGCATGTCAAAAAAGGTGGGAAGAGTACACTGGAGATAATCTATCTAGTCTAAAGAGGACA